GGCCGCCCTGCGCTGCGGGCAGTGCCCGGCCCGGCGCCTGGGGCTCTGCTCTGCGACTAAGCCGAGCAGGCCCCAGTGTCCTGCTGACTGTTTTAACTAGGCCAGCGTTGCACGTAGTTACCGTACCAGACATGCTTCTGCTGTGGATGGCCTTTGTCTGCAGCTGTTACTTCAGCTGGCTGCAGACACAGGTGGTCGGGATTGCCGTGGGTTTGGGTTTGTGTGCAGTGCGCCCAGGGACGGGGCCTCGGTTGCGCATGGCATTGCTGTGGTGCCCCGAGGCTGCCCGGATTGCAGCCTTGAGTTAACTGCATTTATTTACCTGATCAAGCCAGCTCATGTGGCTTTTGTGTTGGCTGTTGTATGTACTGTGGTGAGGGTTTTCCTCTGCCTCTGGTACTCGTTTCTGCCTCCTTCCTTTTACTGGTAACGCACTTGGTCTTATTACCATAACATTCAGTCGTTGACACAACCCTCTAACGCTTGTCTTGGAGTTTTAGAAGGCAGCATTCTTTATTGCAGCACTGGTTTACATGAGAGATAGTTCTCAGAGTCATGCATGCCCTAAGTGATATTGTCTTACCAGATACTTGTACATCAGATTTCCTAGATCTCATTGGGATATTTTTTTTTTTCTTTATCCTTGCAATTTAAGCCTGTCAGGTGGGGGTCTTAAGGTAGTCTTCTGTGGGGTCATTCTGAGCTGTTCTTTGGTTAATCCCTTCTCCCACACATGCATAATGTTGGGCTGCAAGTCCAGCTCTCTCAAATCAGTTTCCAACTGCAGGGCCCTAGTTTCCTGAGTTTTTTCTCTGTTTACATGGAAAAGACCTAGAGACTGTTCAGTAAAGGCCATCAACATGACCAGAAAAGGGGAGTTGTTTAAGGTATCAGTCAGATCTTGTGTTGAGCCAGTTCATAGAGAGAAACCACTTCTGATTGCTCTTCCAGAGACAGCTGAACCAATACAAAGCTTGTTGATCCTCAGTTTTCAGCTGTTCTCATGGTCTAAATTGGCTAATGGAGGCAAGGAGGTGGCAGAGCTGAACGCAGTAGCAGCACTGCAGAGCTGAAATGGAAGGGTGAGCTCTGTCCCTCCCTCCTTCCCAGTGGCTCTCAGCAGTGAGCCCAGTGTGACTTGTGGAAGAACATCTTGAGCACAGGCAGACAGAGCTCCCTGACCTGGCTGTTGAGATAACTGAGAAGCAATGCATGTGTAAAAGAAGAGGCTGTGATCTGTTTAAGCTACTGTGTAATCAAATCCTAAATGTGCTAAAAGCCTCTTCAAAAAGAGTGGCAGGGCAGAAGGGATGAGAGAAGCCTGGTCTGGCCCCCTGGCATGTACCCCACCAACAGACCCTCAGGCAACAGAGGGGACCTGGGTTTCCTTCTAGGTACCTCGTTTTGTCACAGAATACAGAAATGTGTTTTTTTAATAAATGTATTCATATTTCTATTTTAATATATTTTATCTATAGATAGATTAAAATGTTACATCATGTATGCATGCACTCATGCTGCTTCACTGTTCAGTGCATAGATTCTTAGGTGGTTTAGTTGGTTTAGTAACTCCTCAGCTCCTAAATAATTGCATGGCTTATGAAGAAATTCACTTAGAAGTCATGTGCACTGTGAGAGGCATGCGGAATTGTGTGGCATTTCTCCTGTAGTAAAATGAGCTGTTGATCATTAAAGATCTGGCTCAGACTGAGGATACTCCAGAGGACACTGGTGGGAGTGTCATCATCCCACTGATTCTCCTCTAAGACAGCTGGAAAACTGCTCCTGTCCTCATTCACTTTGAGTAAAAGTTATTACCTACGTAATAAGGTCACTTAAAGTGTTGTTATGCTCAGTGCTGCTATTCTGTTTTGACTAACGTCTTGCTCACCACAAACTTCAAAACTAATTTGGTTTTGCAAAACAGGTGTCTGCCCTTAATGAATGGTTTCAAACTAGGAGCAACTGGTTTAACTCCCTAAGGTCACAGCCCTGATGTGGCAGTATGTTTTTTTTCCATTTTGCTGTCTTAGTGATGCTAGATCTTGTCTTTCTAACTATTTTCTTTTTCTCTCTGTTCTTCCCTTCTACTAGATGCTTTGGATCCTGAGAGATTAATGCAATGTCCATATAATAAGCACCATCAAATAAGAGCCTCTCGGTTTCCCTATCACCTGGTGAAGTGCAAGAAGGTGAGCTAGACTGCCAGTGGGGCCTCAATGGGAGTAATTCTGTACATGTAAACATCACACGTATATTCTCACTCTTGTTGCATTTTCTGGCAAATAGCCTTGTTTAGCCTTCATTTCATGTAATTTTATTATTTGTTTAGTCATAACTTCAAACACATGTTAATTCACCCTTGACCAGTGTGGCTCTCTTGAAAGGAGACACAAATTCTTCATGTTAAGGTCAGGGAGGAAGTTCTGGTCTCTTCCAGCAGCTCACATGGAGGTTATAGAATCATAGGATGGTTAAGGCTGGAAGAGACCATCATGTTCCAGCCTCCCTGTATGAGCAGGGACACCTCCCACCAGACCAGGCTGCACAAGCCTCATCCAGCCTGGCCTTGAACACCTCCAGGGAGGGGACAGCCACCAACCTTCCTGGGCAACCTATTCCAGTGTCTTCGTACCCTCATGGTAAAGAATTTCTTCTGAATATCTAACCTAAATCTCCCCTCTTTCAGTTTAAAACCATTACTCCTTGTCCTATCACTACCCTCTCTGGTGAAAAGTCCTTCCTCAGCTTTCCTGGAGCCCCTTCAGGCACTGGAAAGTGCTTTAAGGTCTCCCTGGAGCCTTCTCTTCTCCAGGCTGAACACCTCCAACTCTCTCAGTCTATGTGCAGTTGCAGGATATAACAAATGACCACTTGGTGCAACTGATAGGAATAGTTTATAGAAGTAATTTGGGCTTTTTAATGTCAGATACATAATTCCACTTTAAGTTGCAGAACTCTGTGAGTTACGTGCACCCTTCTGACTAGTCAGGGAAGAAGTGTTGTCATGTTGCAATTCATTCTTTTAAGTGCTGGAAGTGCAGCTGCATAGCAGGGAGGGGAGTGTTTTTTTCTGTTGCTGGTAACTGCAATGTGCCTCTGGCAAAAACTGCACATCCAGGGCTCAGCCCATATGGGAGAGGGTTTTTCCCCCCTCTTCATCTTTTATCCAGAATTTGAATACAAATAATTTAATAGGAAGCATTCCTTCATCTCTTCTACTCTGTTGTCCTCATGGTTTGATTGCATCTAATTGAGCTTTGGATTTTTTGCTGAGACCTTCTGAAAACCATTTGTCCCTCTTGAAGTTGGGCAGTGTGTTCTTAAAATAACACAGCAGTGCTGTGCCTTCTAGTTCAGATGCAGCTGCAAGATGTGTGTCCTGGATCAGTACTTAAAAACAATTCATTTTGGTGGAACCGTTACCTTAAAAAAATACTAAGAAACAGGTGAAAGTGGTGAGCAGAGCTGAGTTGCAAGTACTTCCATCATACAAGAGGGCTGAAATTTTCCTTTTTGACCCTCTGCAAATTCTGTCAAGATTGTGCATGTGAGCCAGGGGTACAGTGTTGGGAAGTGAACTTCTACCATGTTGATTTTGACCTTGGGTTTCATAACTGATGACCAGACAGTTTTGGCAAGCTTACCTCAGTAGGCAGATGAGGTATGATAGTGGTCACCAGTCAATTAAACAAAGTTGGTGTCTCTAAGTAATTAGCAAAAGATGGGGCTGGGGGATTATTATCTGATCCATCTGAAGATGCCACTGTGTGGTTATTTGCAGTGGCAAGAGTCTGGGTGGAGAGCATCCCTCTTGCTTGGTACTTTGTTGAGTTTTCTTTGCATAACCTATGCATAAAATCCAATTACATCCTTCCAGCAGCTTCAACCTTCCAATTCCTTTGTGCATAATGAAGCTCTCCCCACAAAGAGGACACTGCAAACAGAGTAAGCCCAACCCTGGTAATGTGAGCTGCATTGGTGTTGAGAAGCTTCTTCTGTTCGGCCAGAAGAGCTTGCTCAAGGTAGCTGAAGCAAATGGAATCATAGAATATATTGAGTTGGAAGGGACCTTTCAAGGTCATCTAGTCCAGCCCTCCCTGCAGTGAGCACCTTTTAACTAGAGCAGGTTGCTCAGAGCCCCTTCAAGCCTGACCTTGAATGTCTCCAGGGATGGGGCCTCTAGCATCTTTCTGGGCAACCTGTTCCAGTGCTTCACCACCCTCATGGGAAAGAACTTCCTGATATCCAGTCTGAATTTACCCCACTCCAGTTGAAGGCCACTGCCTCTTGTCCTATCACCACCACACACTCTTGTAAACAGTCCCACCCCAACATTCCTGTAGGCCAAAAATTATGGGCACAGGAGGGCTGAGAACCTGGCAACAACTGCCTCGAGCAGTGTCCGGATGAGGCACCTCAGCCTCTGTCGTAGAATTAAAGAATCAGAGAATGTCAGGGGTTGGAAGGGACATCTGGGGAGATCATCGAGTCCAACCCCCCTGCCCAAGCAGGACCATCAGGGACAGCTCACACAGAAATGCATCCAGGCAGGTCTTGAAAGTCTCATGAGAAGGAGAAGCCTGTGGGTGGGATGCTGCCACCTCCCTCTCAGTTTTGAAAGGTTTAAGGAATTTCTCTGCTGTTGTGCCTGCTTACTTGAAAAATACCTAAATGGTTTAGAGTTGCATAACATCTCTCCTCTATTGTTTTTAAAACAGTTTAATCTGTGCTGTAAACCTTGCAGCAGTATTGTCAGTGTTGCAGAAGATCGCAGGGAGTTTAGCTGGGGTGTCAAACCATGACACTGGGGGCATGTTTCATTTCAGTCAGCTCAAGGGGGGCTCAGTTTCTCAGTGAGTTATGTTTTAAAGAACAGTCATGTTACTTTCCCCCTCACATGTTTAATGAGTGTCTGAATGATATCTTGCTATTCATTTTTTAGTCTGTTTTTTCAAGCAACATCACAAAGATCCTTTAGGGCTTTTTTCTATGGATTAGCAAGAGATGAGTGAACTTGAGAGCTACGGCACGTGACTTTGGTTTTCCTTTGTCTAGAACTATCCTGACATTGCAAAAGAATTGGCCACGTGCCCCTTCAACGCTCGCCATCTGGTTCCTCGGGCTGATCTCTCCAATCACTTAACGAAGTGCAATGACAGAGGGTTCATTGAGCAAGACATAGGTGAGAGAACCACTGAGGTGTTTGTTCACCCTGGGGACTGAGGGTTCCTGTTTGTAAGGATAGTGCATAGAATAACTGAAAAGTGGGAGTAAAATTATTGTCTATAGTTTTATGTGACATGACAGCTTTGGGTAAACCCTTACTTGCTTTGATTTATTGCATAGGTTCATGAGATTATTGCAGGTACTCCCAGTAGGTCTTGCACATATTTTGTTACAGGGTTTGTTGAATAAAAATGCTGTACCTTGGACTGTGCACATGGAAGTACCTCTAGCAGGAGCTGGGATACTTTAATGACCAGAAGCACAGATCCTCTTTTTGTAGAGCTGATCTCCCTTTGTTGAGGCTTGACCACTGGTGCCATGTGAAAAGGTGATTTCTACCAAACAGGTGTCTAAGCAATGGAAGCCCCTCAGCTGTTCTCCAGGGCAACCTGAGTGATTCACTCCCACCAACAAATGAGGCAGCTCCTCCTCCAGGCTGCTCCACTTGCTTCATCTACCATACAATTGAGATTTCATTCCCCTATCTTGTGAGACAAGGTGGGAAGGAAGCTGTCCAAAACCTCCAAAATACTTAGGAAGGCATTCTGTGCTATGCAGTGTCGTTTCCATCCTCTGCAGTGGCTTCTTAGCTACTGCCACTCCACAGAGCAGCCAGATGGCTTTCTGTCACCTCTTAGAGTTGCCATGAGGCTCGCAGTGGTGGCTGCATTCCTGTCAGCAGGTTTCCTCTTCACTTGAGCATCCGTGCCACAAGTCCCAGGGAGCAGAGTCTTTTCCAGTTCATTGAAAAAGGCATATTCAAGGTTGCTAGATTTCAGATCGACACCTGGCTTGCATTGGGCAGGGTTTCCTCTAAACCATTGGGCAGGGTTTCACAGCTTGATCTAAAGCACTTAAACCTCTCTGAAGTGAACGTGACTGCTGATCACCAACGTTTTTTTCTCTTTCTGAAGTGAATCAGTCTACTGGCTTCCAGAGAAAGCAATTGAATGCTGTGAGCACATGGCAGGCACCTCCATGTGCTGAAGACTGGGAAACAGGTGAGGAGCTTCCCTCTCTGCCCTTCTGCCTTCTCCCTGGTCCTGTCCTTCAACGTCCTTTGGGACACTGTGAGTCCAGAGATCTGTTCACGTAGGTCTCATGTGTAGCACACCTTGTCTGTGCTCATTCACGAAAACATGGCACCTCTCCACGCAGCAGGCTTTTCCTGCTACAGAGGACAATTCAGCATGCCTGCCATAATTGCCATGGAGATATGTTTCTAAGCATATGCTCCTTCCCATGTAAGCTTTAGTACCAGACGTGCAGTGATCATAGAGTCACAGGCTAGTTTGGGTTTGAAGGGACCTTAAAAATTATGCAGTTCCAGCCCACCTACATGGGCTCCTCCCACTAGACCAGATTGCTCCAAGCCCCATTCACCCTGGCCTTGAACACTTCAGGGATGGGATGATGACAATCAGAACATGGTAACTTTTATGTTCTTTATTTAAATGACTGAATCAGACGCATCATTAGATCAACTTCAACTCCCTCTTGAACATGTAGAAGTATGACAGGGATGTTCCTGATCTGATGGTCACTGGAGTTCCTTAGTTCTGAGCCACAACATCTGTTTCCTTTTGCAGATTCGTTGGAGCAGTCAGGTTCTCCTTTTGTCTGGGGCATGACCAAGTCTGATGGAAAAAGGTAGTGAATGAGACTCTGATTCCTCACAGCCACATTTTGTATCCAGTATGGCAGCCTGCTCCAAACCCAGCCTGGATGGCTGGATATGCTGCTGTGCAAACCCTGGAAGTAGGGATGCTCATAACAGGGAACATTCTCAGAGTACTGATTACTTCTTTCTCACATTACTGGCCTGCACAAGAGGAGGAAGCCCTTAGGAAGGACAAGAGCAATTGGCACAAGCTGGAGCAGAGGAAGTTCAAGTTAAACATAAGGAAAAACTTCTTTACTGGGAGAATAACAGAGCACCAGGACAGGCTGCCCAGAGAGGGTGTAGAGTCTCCTTCTCTGGAGACATACCAAGATAATCTGGGATGGTTTGGTATGTTTCCTTGTATGATCTGCTGTGGTGACCCTGCTCTGGCAGGGGGGTTGGTGATCTCCAGAGATCCCTTCCAACCTTGACAACTCTATGACTCTAGGAACACAGATACTTTCTGCTCTTGTGTGCATGTGGCCAGGTGCTCTTCTTACCTGTAGCCTGTGTCGGGTTCCTGCAGGATGTCTGGCCAATGTGCAGAGGAGAAAGGTGCTGAGCCGTTATGCTGACTTTGGAAATGTGGCCAGGTGCCTCCTCTGGAACTTTTTCAGTTAACTGGGTTTCTGTGGAGCCAATGGGTAGCCAGCAGTCCTGTGTCACCTCTGGTCACCTTAGATCTGGCAGATGTGCTGGCCTTAGGGCCCTGTGTTAGCAGAAATGTCCTCCTCTTGCCCTTTGCAAAGTGTAATCACAGTTTGGGTTTGGGGGAGTGAGGAACATAATGGCCAGCTGCAAAATGGCTGGAGCTTCCCTGGCTGGTTTGATGGATCCAACAGTGGATCACGATTGTAGGCTGGGTACGAGATGTGATGGTGCCACTAGAGTTGCCAGAGCATGTTTTAAGATCTGAGTCCATGTGCAGGACCAGGCCGGCACCCTACAGCTTTGCAGTTCTGTGTGAGCTCAGCCATGATATACCTCTCTCCTTCCAAAACAATGACCTCTGGTTTCATTTGTTACATTTTTTGGAAGATTTTCTATTGTTTAAAGCCCCTATGGCTCTTACAAGCCCACCACCTCCCAGTGGCCAAGTACCATCCCCTTTGGTCCCTGCTCCGTTTGTACCATAGCAAAATGCATAAATTTGAGCAAGTGCATTTGTCAGGAGAAGTTAATGAGGTCTTTCAGTTCCAGTGCCACCTCTGAAGAAAAGAACCGCTTGCCTTCAAGATTGCGTGCCCCTGAGTTCCTGCCATACACCATCTCATGGAAGGGCTGTAAGTACTGTGTGATTTTGAGACTGTGACTTCTATAGATTGTAAGAGTTGTGAAACCTCTGTCTGCAGCAGTGCTTTATGGCCACTGCATGGACAGGAGGGGTGGTATGTAACACCTGGGTCCTGGAGAGCAGCTTCTGAGCAAATCTTATACATGCATCATCCTCTGTATTCTTTATTTAATATTCTTGAAGGTCCTTTCATTACAGTGGTCCAGTTAAAGCAGCCTTGCTCCCCAGCCACTTTGGCTCTGTCTCTCTTAACAAGTCATTCCACACCATCTGCACTAAAGCCTTTCACCCCCCACTTAAACCAGATTATCTCCTTGCTTTGTGCCCTTCTGCTAGCTGTCAAATGCAGCTGAGTCAGAGCAGGGGTAGAGCTGCTTAAACCAACACTACGAGGGGTCAGAAAACCTCTCAAGCTACAGCTAGAGGTGGGAGGGAGGGAGCTTCCTCTGTTGAAGTGTCTGATGCTGCAATCAGTTATTTCCCAGTTAGCAGCAAAGCTAAAGCCTAGAGGTGCTTTGAGGAACGACTGACTAGTTTAACACTTAGAGCACCTCAACCTGCTGCTCTTGGGGTTCTGCAGACATGGCCTCTATGCAGGGCAGTGACTGCAGTTGCCACAGGGTCAGGCTGAATCTGCCAATCCAAATTAACATGTCACTTGTGGAGAAATGTTGCTGTCAAGGTGACAGGTGCTACTTCAGCAAAAGCCACTCTCGTTTGGGACAGGGGAGGAAATCTGGTTTTCTCCATCTCATGCTAAAAATGTTTCTTGCTCTTTTCAGAGTTTGGAGCATTAGCATCTCTTCACCCTGGAGGTTCATTCCCTCTCAATACTAAATAGTTCCCTTTCTAGGATCCTGGAGCTCCTGTGGATGGGAGATGTTCCCTGGACGTGATGGCAGGACTCAGGACTTGGCAGTTGCTGCAGGACATGTTTTTGCAACACCTGAGGTTTTTAAAATTCCTTGATTGTAAAAGCTTCTTGTCCCTGAGCGTTTGTTTCCTAAGTTAGTCTTCAGTTGGTGATCTTTTTACTGTTACTGAGTAAATGGGCTGATAAATTTAAACAGCAATTCTCCTTAGCCAGCAGTGGGTAGTTTACAGGAAAAACTGACCAAAAAAACAAACTGCAGGAACTGGCAAAAGTTGGTTCACTTGTCCAAGGGCAGTCCTGATGATCTGTGAAGTTCTGTTTCCTCCAGTGATTTGGAAAAAGCAGGAGAACTTTGGAAGTAGTGGTCAGTTTGAAGTGGCAGGGGTGAGGAAGGGGGATGAATCCTAAGAGGAGGAGGTGGGTCTGATCAGGTTCCTACTCATGGATGTGACTGGGAAGCAGAACAGGGGAGGGGGGTTCTGTACATACCACTAAAATCTTGTCCCTTGACTTGATAGTTTAAAACCAGTGTGTGGATTTGCAAAAGAGGCTCCTTCAGTGTTGCCTACATGTGATGTTTCATACTAACTGTAAAAGAAGGGAAGCAATTATGTTTAGGGGGGAGGGGAGGAAATGCCCTGCAAAAATGGTGTGAATCCAGACCTTGGCATAGCAGGACCTGTTGTAGTTCCATTTCAGTGGAAGTCAGGAACAAGAGAACAGTCCATGCAGCTCTGAGAGTTTCTCCAGCCTGTGAAGAGGACGAGACTTCTAACTGTGTAATGTTTTCATTAAAATCATCTGGATCAGCCCAACCTGGAAATATTTTGATGTGCATGCACTCTTTGCTTGTCTTTTCAGCATCTCTGGGTTTGCCCACATAGTGCATGTGAAGTAGACAGTTTGGGTTTTAAAGTAGGTTGTAATTTACAGACTTCTGTCTTCCTAGAAAGTGATAGTGCCTTTGGGGCTTCAAGCCTTCAGCCTTAACTTTCCCACATGGGTGTGTGGTGCTTCAAGCCATACAATAATGAGTAATCCCTTACAATATGCATACTGCCAAACAGGTGAAGTTTGAAGAGTATACTGACATACTTACCTAGTTTCCATTATGGTTAAAACAAGTTTGAGAGGTCTAACATAACTGTTGGTTTTTGGAGAGTTGGGGAGGGAGGAGACAGGAATGGTTTAAATCACTAAAAATACATGTTTGGACTGTGAAAATGTTTGGATCAAGCAGTGTACTTCTGAAAATGGATGCAAAGTCCAAAATGGGTTCTTAATATGCAAACACAAAAAATTAAGAAACCAGGTATGATATTTGTCTAGAAAGAATTTGGACTTTCACATTTTTAAAAGATTGTTCCACAAAATACTGCATTTTTGCCATTTGTATTACTACCCATATAAAATAACGCATGTTGAGTAGAATGTGCAAATGTAGCATTATTTTGAAGTTCAGTTCTGTCAAGGTTTTTGTTGGCATTTTAGAATAAAAGGGTTATCAACACTCTTGGGCCTGTTTTATGTTTCTAGAAGACACCTGTAGTGATTTATTACGCTCTTGTTCTGTTGAATAAGTAAGTGCTTACACAGCAAGCCCTTCACTCAACCTTCCTTTGATTATTGCTCTTGTCACTTTGAACAAAAGCAGTGACAAATGTCAGCTCTTTGATTGTTTCCGGATCTTACTGCAGGGCCAGAGCACTGTAATTTTCCAGATAGATGCTAAAATTTGGCTCACAAATCCAGAGCTCTTGGAAGTGCAAGGCTGGCAGAGCTTAGTGCAGTAACTGCCTGTTCTCTGTTGGGTCTCAGGGCTTGCCCTGCAGGGGAGATGAGCTTGGATGCACCTGCTCCCAGGAGACACTTGGAAAGGTCAGGGTTTTGACTTCAAAACATCCCCTGGCCATAGTAATTGGGGAATAAGGGACCACAAGAAGTGGGTTTATCCTGTAAGGTAAGTGCAGGCAACACATGTAAGAGATCTGAAATCCCATATTCATCTGGGCAGGTTCCTCAAGCACATCCTGCACATGCCTCTGCCTGTGAAGAGCAGGAAACCCATAATTTTTCTGTTCCTTGCAGGGATTTGGGAATATAAGATTAGGCTGTAAGGATGTAACCCTCAAAAATTACCCTCCTCCAGGGTGACTTTTTAAAATCCTAATATCTTCTGCCATTGGGCTGTTGGGATGAAGCTCCCTCTGATTGTTGTGTATTTACCACAGGCTGTGGAATATTTTTTAAAATGCCAGCCTACTCCAAGGTGGCAGAGCAAGGATTTTGATGCAACTATCACTGCAGTCACAGCCACACATTCCCCAGTACCTCCTGCATGGGGCTGGAGCCTTCACCCCCATCCCTAGTGGCTGGACGTGTCCATTTCCAGGAGAAGCTGACAGAACATAGGGAAATACCAGCCCCTTTTGGCCTGTCTGAGAGCACATGCCTGAGTGACTCCTCCAGCCTGATTTTTCTGATAGTTTGGGGTGCCTGTGGGTGGACCCTGCCTGCTGAGCCATTCCTGCCTTGGCTGGGCCACCAGCTCTGTGGCAATGGGACTGGTCTGACTAGAAATGCCTGTGGAAGTATTGGGGTAGAAATGGATGTGTCTGCAGTTGTCACTGGTGAATCAGGAGGGAGGAGAGGAGGCAGCATTTACCTTTAGACACAGATTCCTCTGTGTTGTGGGGCCTGGACACACTTCAAGTTGCTTGTTGTTTCTCCACAGCCCTTTGTGGTGACCTGTGGGTCTCCCCACCCCTGGTTTGCTCCTGGCCAGAGGTACAGCTGCAGCTCCTCGACCCACAGACACCTCTGCCTTGTCCCTGTGGCTCCCTGTGGGGCTCTTCACAGCCTTTCTCCCCCTGAAGGGTTGAGGCAGCACTGCAGGACACCCCAGGGCTGGAGCACAGCGAGGAGTGCAGGCCTGCCTGTGTCAGTGGGGACCCAGGTCCCTTTCCCCAGCAGTTCAGACTGTGTTGTCTTTCCTGTGCTGTCTTCAGTTCATGAGGATTTGGGGTAGTTGCATTTGCTCCCAGCCAATATCCAGGAGATCAGCACTGTCCAGTGTCCCCCCATCAAAGGGACCAGGGATCCTTGTTATTGCAGATGAGCAGCTTTGATTCTGATCAGTTAAATCCTGCTTGGTTATTTTTGTAATCATTGCACACTTTGTGATCATCACACAAAAGCACAGGGTACTGAACTATCTTGGCTCCTCTCCAGTGCAAAAGGGAAGAAAGGGGAAAAGAACCACAAGATGCCAGGATGGAAGAAACCTCAAGGATCATCTGGTCCAACCATTCTAGGCAGGAACAGGTTTTAGAAGAGATGGTCCAGCATCTCATCCAAATAAGGAAAATTTTCCATCATGAAGGTGTATAAAAGCAAACTTAAGTGCTGGAAGTGGGAGAGAGATAAGGGAACAGATCTACTTGTCTGGGCATGGAAACACCAGCTGCAAAAATACCCCCTCACACTTCACCTGGAAGATGAACATGTTCCTGGTATCGTTTTGTCTTTGGAGTTCAGTGTTCAGGTCCTCTGTGCTGTGGTCAGGAAGGCTGGCAGAGAAAAGCTGTGGAGGGGACTCTCTAGACTACAGCCTTCATGTTCTAGTTGGACCCTTCACTCTACAGCAGGTCAGCCTGAATTGTGCTGCTTAGTTGTATGTGATGGTTCCTTTAACTCCCCAAGGAGTTAAAGGTTCCAGCAGGCAGGAGCCTGGGGCTGCTGAAGGCAGCACAGTCTCGTTTCTGGTAGATCAAGCTCTGGCCCCACATCTCAACTTTACATCCAAACCACATTTAAGAAGTCATTTCTGCTTTCCTGGCTTTTAGTCTAGATTGTAATTCATGAAACCAAGAATGTGGTTTCAGCTTGGAGATCATTTACAAGTGCTATCCCAGCAGTAGGCTGGAAATATGAGCAGTTACTGCCTGGGCTGCCCACACACCTAGAGAGCTGAGCCCATTTTTCTCAAACCATTGGCCAAACCCTGCAGACAAAGGGTCTCCTTCTGCAGGCCTGAGGTGCACATTCCAGAGCAGGCAGATTGAAACTGCCGATCCACCTCCCATCCACGGTCTGGGAAGGGCCTTCCCACACAGAGCTCCCAGCCCTGCTGGTGACTGGGTGC